CATTCATAGACATCCCAAACCAAAAGTAACTCAGTGCTTCAGAGAAAAAGGTTGGTTTCATCTTCTGGGGCATGGCAGCTTCCTGCTGTTTTGCTCCTCAGGGTGGGCATAATGGAACCAAAGCATCAAGGAGGTGCATTATTCTCTGACAATCTTAATAATGATTGCTTACTGCCTTTGTCTTGGCACGGGCAATGTTTGTGCCTTCAGTGATGATCTGGCTTCTGAAAATTCAGTGGCTGAATTTGAGGAAGTCTTCCAATTTCTAGCATCCTTATTTGAACTCTTTCAAACCACTTTAGTCAGAAAAATCAAGCTGGAAATTTTGTGCAAAAAGTATTTTTTGTGGATTTCCAGCTTTCTGTCAAGTTCCAACCAGAAGATGCTGTTAAACTGAAAAGTAAAGAAGGAAAAGGAAACCTTTTCGAAAATCACTTTCCTTCTGGGGTTAGTTCAAAAGTTTCAGAAGGGGTTGGCTTGTTCTTTTTTAATTTTTACATATGAACAATGTAACAAAGGCAAATTAGAGAAGAATCACCATGTCATAATACAGTTTGTAAGACGGCCGTTGAATTGGCCAACACCTGGAACTAAAATATTTTGGAGTAGAATGAATCAGCTGTTCTTGTACTGAAGCTGAGCTTGTCATTGATTCCTGGTCTAGGAGCAAAACATGGCACTTGTAGTTGCTAGCAAATCCTGCCTGTGTTCTCTACCTTTGTGCCAGTGTTGTTCATCTATCCTAAATGCTTAAATAAATGCCTGGACTCTGAAGTTTACAGGGCACAATTAGAGTAGTCTTCTGGCTTCCAACAAGAGTTGAGCTGATACCAGCTTCTTCCTGGAACTGTAGAGCCCACTGGGTCTGAAATCATCCCGGCACTTGATGGGTGACTAGGTTTCTTCATGGGACCAATTCATTTTGTTTCTATAGGGAATCCTCATGCTTATCTCTAGCAAAAATGGCCTCTCAATGACTGAATATAATAGCTGTTTTCTCTTTGCTTTAGGAGGTGCCTTGCATCTTTTATTCCCAAGAGGCAATCACTACAGCAGAGTGGGGAAGTTGGAGATTTTCTTATTCCTTTCACTCCTTTAGGGGCCATGGGGTTAATTTAGCAGAGCATTCTTATCTCCAAACTGTAGCAATGCATGTTCTTGGCATAATGAATCAGCTGAGTGGCATCAACAAAGAGATTTAAGCAAATAGACATAAAGATAAATATCTTTGTTCTGCCTGGTAAGCAGTGCATTGCTCATCATATTTCAGGTTGACTGTAATTCAGTTTTGTGATTAAATATGCTGTGTGTTTTCCAGTGGTCCCTGTGTTCCTGGCAAACACTTCAAAGGGGACTGGAATGTGAGGAGGGCTTCAGAAATGTCCACAGAAACACTGGCAGTCATGAGACTTTTATCTGCTAGACTGCAACCCTGGCTTTAGGGTCTGTCCTTGTCCCCCAAAACAAAATCAGAGTTCTGTCAAAACTGGGGATTTCTTTGTAGTGTGATCCCCTTGCTAATTTAGATTCATCTTCAACTGTTTGAGGCTTCCACGCATTGGCTGTGCATCCATGTCAAATGTTTCTGGCTAATTGCACAGATTATTCAGGCCAGCTACTCTGTGCTGCAGTGCTTAAACTTTCACTGGTTGGCAGCACTGTCCTGGAAGCCAGAAGTGGAGGGTCAGTTCTAGAAGTGTGGGAAACTAAGAAGACATTGAAGACCTCCCTATCACCCATCCCAGACTCAGCAGGCAGAATTGAAACTCTTGTGAAGAAAATAGTATGCAAGTGACAGATTTGGTGAAGGTGATGAAGACAGTGCTCCACTGTCAGAGATGCCAGGATACGATTAGGGAGACAGACCAAGCATGAATCAAAATAGGAATCACCATCCTGAGCGCTTCTGAAAGCTGTGTGGAAGTAGAACTTCCATTTCCACTGAACACTGGCCATATCCAGGGAGAAGGAAAGGGACTAACAAAAGAATAACAGCAAAAGGGTCAAAAGGCATAGGACACTACCACTTAACACACAGCTCATGTATACTCACTCCAGGAGGAGTGGGTTCTTGCTGCCTAAAAATCTGTGCAGGGCTGCTTGTACCTGTATGATTCATTTCCACCATCTGTATTTGTGCCAAATACATAGATACCCACCCATGCAGGTGCATCCCTAGATGGAGAGACCAACAGACACAGACAGGTGGGGAGGCCTCCTTTTTCCATTCTGCCTTCTGGAGATCTTGGCTTACTTCCTCCTTCATTTATTTGCTACTTTATTGACTATACAACTGAAAAAATGGAAGAAAAAAAATAAGAAAAGCACTGACAACACAGGAGAGCAGAGGAGAATCAATGAAATCAGACAGGAGAAACAAAATGAATGTTGCTTTTTTGCCCCTTCAGCAAGTAATACTCACTGCTTCTGATCAAAGTGCTGAGGGAACTATAACCCTGCCTCTTCCATCTCCTCCTCGCAGAACAGACTATCTCAGCTTCACTTCTCAAAGCGACTGTTTTGATCTTAAAGGTGATAAGTGCTACAGAAAACATGAGGGAAAAAAAATAGCTAAGTTATTTTGCTCAGCTTCCTCCATGTTTTTCATCCCGTGATAAAACTGAGGCATGGGACAGTTGTGTGTTCTGGTCCCTGTGGAGCTGGGATCCAAATGCGGAATTCTGTCTTGAAAGACATGAGGAAAACATTTGCAAATACCTCTTGTGAGAATTCTTTTGTTTTCTTCTTTTTTTTAAATAAATTCCCCAAGCAGTTCTACCCACAGTGATTTCTAATATTTCCCTTGTCCTACTGACATTGACACAGAAAGCTTAGACTTCAAACACTGAATGCTGGGGTCTATAAACCCCTAGATCTAGTCCCATTTCATCTGCCTCTGAACAGTTCAGGGAAGCTCTGAGTCTGATCTAAATTGTCCCTACCTTACACTCCCTGACTCTTTCTTGTCATGTTTTATATACTTATTGACTTTTACAGAGCTTCCTGAGTAATTCTTCAAGGAAGATTGACTGATTTAAGGGGTTAGTCATCCTGCAGGTTAGTAAACATGACAGCTGGTTGAGGATTAACAGGAAATAATAAATAAAATCATTGGGATTGATAAGGGATTCTCAAGCAATTAAAGTTTTCTTGCAGAAAGTCAAATAGAAAAAAGAAACATAAAGTGAAGGTCAAAGGAGAAGGGTGACCTTCTACATGCTGACAACCACTGAGCCCTGAAATACAAGATGTACTGGCAGAGCTAGTGTGAGATAGCTAACAAGGGGATAAAGCGCTAGAGAGGACTGCAGGCCAGGGTGTAGGAGACTGGGCAGAGATGTGTAGGTATGGCTGTGGGACCAGCAGGTCAGTGCAGAGGCATGTCAACAGGGTGGTGTGAAGGTGCAGAGCAGGACTAAAATGAGTTGGCAAACTGATCTGGGGGTGCTGTTTGTTGCCTGCCCTGTGGTGCTAGTGGTAGAGAAAATTGCAGGACAAGACCAGGCAGCAGAGCTACCCTCCGATCTCTTCTCCAGGTAAGAGTTTGTTAACATACTGCAGAGAGCAGACTCGGGCAACTTCCTTCCCCTTTCCAATAGCTCCATCTACTTCATCACTGGGACTGAGATTTGCTGCCTGCTAGCTGCTTCGTGGTTACTCTCTCCGTGGCTTCCCTTATTACTGACTTTCTTCGTGCAGCATCTCGCCGCTTTCTGTTCTCTCTCTTAACCTCTAGCTGCTTCTCCTGTCCTGTAAATCCCCACTGATGACTCTAACGTTCCAGGTGTGAGAGGCTCTGGCACTTTGTTTCATGAACTGGAAATGAATTGGAGCCTACTAGCTCTGGAGAACCCATACTAAGAGCCATCTGTTGTGAGCTGCAAACGCTGATTGGTATTCAGGGAGCTGAGTTCCTGTCTTACGTATGCTACCTGGCCTCTTGGTTGATTACTGAGCTCCTGACAGCTTCTAATGTGTGTCACAGCAAGGAATGTCAGGACCAGTCAGGAAAATATGTTTAGGCAGGGTTGGTTTGAAGGGAGGGAGCCGAGAGTCTGGTATGGCTTCATGTTTGTCCTGTGGGGCGCAGGGCAAGGAACACAGTGGGTGAAGGGATGTGTTTTAGAATACTCAGCAGAATTCGTATTTTATCACAAGTTTTATAATCATCTTCTTTTAGTCTGATACCCCGGAGCTACATGATTAAGAAAATATTGCAGCTTTCTTTTTATAAAGCTTATTTTTTAAAAATACATTTTTCTTGTCCATGCGGTAAAGCCTTTAAACATGACCAGAAAGTGACCTTTAAAAATCTCAGAACCAAAAAGCAACAGAAAAGAAGCCCAATCTGCTGTTGCTCATGTTGGTGTTCTGTCAATTTTTAAATACTGTGGGTTTCCAGAATAATTTGATCCATAGATTTCACTATACTTCTATATATTTAGAAGTTAAACGTAATTTTGCTGGCTGTGACAGGATTGTACAACTACAACGTTTCTGGATTTGTTGATCTCGGCAAGGTGTTCTCTCAGAACTGAAGTACAGGACTATGTGAAGATTATATGACCTGCTGTTGGCTAATCTTATTGTTATTTAGCTTTTCTCACTCCTCGGGAGCTGCTTTAGTTTCAGGAACTCTTCTGGTGTTGTAATTGGACATAAGTTTATTAGCACTTGGAAGGAGATATGGGCTCTGCCCTTTCCCCACCCATGTACTGGTTCATCTGGAGGGTTCCGGAACAACCATTTCCACTTAAACAGGAGAGATACTGCTTCATCTTTTCATGTACAATTCTAAAAGACTAGCTTATGCTTAGTAAATAATATACTAAATTGTAAAAAAAAACAAACAAACAAAAAACAAACAAACCAAACTGAGACCATTAAGCAAGAATGAGCAGGTAATAAGAGTCTGAGTTTGAGCACTGAGTAACCACGTGGTTACAGAAAAGCATGAGTAGTGGAAAGAGTTTAATTCAGCCTTTTCTATTCATTTTCAGAGTCTAACAGCCGACGGGCAGCGAACAGAGGCTACCTGGGTGGATTGCTGAGACTCTATCAAGACTGGCATCACAATGATGTCTCCAACAACTACGTTTATATTCGTAGGGGTCTCCTGCTCTGCCTAAAGCACATCACCAACATCCAGTTGGGCAGGGAGACATTCCTTGGTTCCCGGGGTATGGAGATTCTCTTCACAAGTGTACAGGTAAATGGTGCTTCTGTGCTTAAGTGAGATGGATTGGTAATTAGTGCTCGGTTCTACCTCACAGTGCAGGAAATTCCACACTTTTATCCTGAATTTATATAACACATAAATGAAAAAATGATAATTTTAAAAAGTATTGACTTTTTCAGTTAGTACTTCAGAAAAGCTGAAATGTTTCAGTTTAAAACTCATTTTAATTCCTTCTGAGCCTCATGGGAATCGTAGTTCAGGCTTTTTAATACTTTTTCTCCTCCCCTGTGGATCCTGATGTCTGCTTGGACTTCCTCTCCCAAACAACAGTGCAGTGTCTCCACGGAAGAGTTGCTTAGGTGTTACATGAGATGTTTCCTTTCAGGTATCCAGATGGATAATTCCACCCAATCAGTCTTTTCCACAAAGGAAGTGTTGATTTATCCAGGCCTTTGCTAATGAAAAACATCTATCAACTGTTTTTCAGGAGGTGCAATTTTAATCTTGTGACACATTAATGTTGGTCCATCAAGAAAGATTGACATGGCCCTGGGGACGGGTTCCCTATAAGGTATAGAAAGGGCAGGTACAGAAGAGTAATGTTTCCTCCGAGTCTCTCACCAGCATGCTTCCTTAACCTTCTTTGGAGAAGTCACTTGTGGAGAAACCTTCAGTTCTTGACCCATGTGATTCCACAAGGAGTGTTTCCATTGTCATTCTCACCGGCCAGTGCATTATCTCATTCTAGCACCATCACAGACAGAACGAAAAACCTGTCCCCTTTTCCTCCAGCAAATCCATTGCCTTATGATCCAGTGTACTTGCTTCTTCACATTTCCCATCGCTGTCATGAACAATTCTCTTGTGACTGAAGGATATTTCTTACTAGTAGTAGATAGTAGATTGGTAGAGTTTTTTCACTTCGTTTTCCTCACGAGGATTTGACAGCTTTTTCAGGTGGGATGAGGTGGCCAGGCCCAGCAGATCTTTCAAGGGAGTATGGCCTCTGTTAATGACAAGTCCCTGGTCTGCAGAAACTTGAATAGGGTGGGTGGCAACAGCTGCTTGAGGGTAGATGTCAGCTAGTTCTCTCTCAAGAGCCTTCTACAGCCCACGTTGCTTCCTGAGCTAACATCTCTTGATAGTTCAGCCTGGGAGCAACCCCATGGAAAGTGCAAACATGGGGTCACCTTAGGTGAACAAACAGGAAATGACACACTAAGACTCCAGTGAACGCTGATAACTCTAATCCTTCCAAAGGTTAGAAGTGGAGCAGAAATGACAGCTCAGGGGCCTCCAGTTTGCTTTTTTTCCTACTGTTTGCTACTAGGGGGATCTCGGAAGGGGGATTACCAAGGTTAATAAATTCAGAGCTCAACGTTCTCTCACTTCTTCTTTGGGATATTGTCAGTGTTACAGTGCCTCTCTAAGACATGAGGTGTCGAGAGGAGTCTGACAGTCCTAGGAGGTCTCACTCATGCTTGTCCCTACTCTGACCTGAGGTAGAGGCGCCTGCTGCTACTAAAATCATTATAATCTTCATGGTAGACAGCAAATGGGAAATTGATTCTCCTGAGAGGAACTGCAGGCTGTAGTAAGAGAGAAAGAGACAGGGCAAGACAAACAACTCCTGCTTGGGAAAGCAACGTCTCTTTGTGTGTGTAGACAATATTTTAATGCCTTTAGGAATTTGCTGGCCCTGGTGATTAGCCTTGACCAAACTCTGAGCAGCTAATGAGATTTTAAAGGTGTTAAAAGCTGGTTAGAAAAGTTCTGCTGATTTTTTTCATTTTTTTTTTTAATCTATTGAAATTGAAACAGTTTTGCCAAGATGGGTTTGTTTTAACAACCTCCCGTGGAACTCCTATTACAAGGCTGGTTTTCAATTGAAACCTCTCCAGATGCTTATTGTAAGGGCTGATGGACAGCTGAAATACCTGAGCTTTTAATAGCCCTTAAGCCTATGTCTTTACAGGAAGAGCCAATAGTTCAAAGACTGTCTCCTTACATAGATTAGAAGTGACTGCTACTTTATTTGAGGAGAATTTAGAGATATTTTGAGTTTTGCTCCTACCTGGAATGAAAAATAATTTTAGATAATGAAATAATTTGTGAAAAGGAAGCACTTTCTGCTCCTATTTCTTTTTCCAAGCTCTGCTTAGACTTTCATGGCAGGTAAATGATATGTCCACATTAGCAACTGGCTGGCTTTGTGTGCAGTGGCAGAGAGCTGCCTACTCTGAGAAAAGAAAACAGGTTTGTATCTGCTTTAGGAGAGACTGGTGCATAGAACATTATTTTGCTGTTTTATCACTTATCCATCTGATTTCTTAAGCCCACCTGGTTTCTCTTCAGTCTTCCTGTACTAGGGTCTACTCTAAGATAATATTATCCTATACACCACTCTATAGTTCCCAGTAGTAGCATCCATTAGCTTCATTATCTTTTCCTTACTGTCATATTGAAACCTCCTTTTATGTATATATTGCATATGTATCATAATATCTGGACTATTCCAGATTCAGTAAAGAGAAGTTTGAGTGTGGAGGCTAAAAAGCAGATCCCCTCAACTCAGGTTAGCTTTACATGGGTTTTCTGAGCTAAGCATGCACTCTCTTCCCTCATTCACAATATCCCACCACAAAATAAATGAGATAGACAGGAGACTGTTTTGTATGTGTGTAAACTATTTCTCAGGTGTCAGTAAAAAAAAAAGCTTTTCCGACACAGTGATGGAACATTTTTCAGTCATCTGTAAACTGTGTTATCTTGGAATCTGAGAGCACGTTATGCACAGTAATGAAAACAGTCCCACAAATTCCCTGTAAGGTATCTGAAGGCTTGATTGCACTTGTAAGCTAATTTGCTATAAAGAAAAATATGACTTTCAAACAGCATCATTGAATAACTCCATTTGTGGAAGTTCATTGTCTGGATGAAAGTGCCTTGTTCTTGACTATCTCAATTCACTTGGCAGTGAATTAAGATGGCTGGCCCAAGGCAGGCATTTATACACTCCTGTGTTCACTGTTCTATTAAACACAACATTTTTAGTAAGTATTAGTAACATTTTAGTAAGACTGTTTAAGAATGTTATTCTGTTCTCACATGTAGACAAACTTCCCTTATCTTTCCTTTAATAACAAGCAAATAAAGGTACTCAGATACCATGTGAAAGAGTGAATAAATTGCAAAACTGGAAATAGAAACTAATTCTCCTTGGTGTTTGCTCTAACCACAATAAAACTTTCCTTGGAGATGCTTTCAAAATTGTCTTTTCTCTCCCCTTTGTTCCTAACAGCCAGATATCTAGAAATACATATTAAGATTCTTGTAAGCGTGTCAGCTTTAGATTTTTCTAGCCTCCCTACAGGAATTCTGGTTAATCCCACTGAATCTTATAATGCCATTCAGTCATACATGAGAAAACAACACAACCCTGTACAACTGGAAAAAAAAAAAAACAACAACAAACCAATACAGCCATTTTCCTTTTCCTGATTATAATAAAGTATTTCATGTTCTTTGGTCACCTTCCTGGTTCTGCTGAATATTTTTTTTTGTCCAGCCCAAATCCTAACTGTGGGCTGTCAGACAATGGCAAAAAGTATCTGTTCTGCCCTCTGGGCTCTTCCATTTTATCTGTGCTGAAGGGATGCAAAAATATTAAATGCTATTAGGATGTATTGTAATATTCCTCTTTTGCCTTATAGAACATTTTATGCTGCTTACTTGACTTGCATTCCTGTTCTGACAAGCTAAGTCTTAGTCCCAAGCCACTAAAAATAACACACTGTTAGGCACAGTACAACTTGTGAGCTTAGGTAGGATATTACATTGATTAGTCAATCTCTCTGATGGAGACTGGTATAGATGGGCTGTGCTCGGGGAAACCTGAAGGCTTGGTTTTCTGAGCATCACACCGATCAGTTTTGAGCAACTTCACCTTTGTGCAGCAGCTGTAATTTGCTTGTCCAAACTCTGTCTCTGTTATACTGAAAACATACACCTATGATGACCTCCCAGGGGGTCTTTGCTTTTAGTTCTGTCTGTGTGTGTGTTGTTGTTTTTGCAAAAAAAGACCAAGGAGTTCATTTGCCTAGCATGGTAATAAAAATACAAAAATATTCTATGTCTTCAAAGTGCGTCTGGGCTCTCATAGCTCCTTATGCTTCTATTTTCTACTCTGGATTATAAGAGTAGAAAACGTAGGATACTGTAGGAATTCAATATTTTATGACTAGGTACTATATAGTGATCTTTCAGACTATCGGGCCTAATGCTTAACTGTATAGAATAGAGTGGGAATGCTCTCTTTGAGTATACATTGTGTACACTGAATACAGTGAAATAATGGTGTAATTGTGCTAACTTACCTGTGTTAGTTTTGGCATGATAGCTCTGGGTATAGTTGTGGTGAAGATGCAGAATTGCAGATTTTGGCATGTGTTGGCAGCCAAACATACACATGATGGGCTCCCTGCAGGATTATTTTTTTATCCATATTAAAGAACGTATGTTTTCAGTGCTACTGTTATCTAGGATATTTTAGCTTAATGCTACCATCATACCTTCCTTCAATATGCCTTGACTAAATATCTTAGAGCCGAGCTAGGGGATGCTGTGTCTTCTAAATGACGTGCACCAATGGAAGTCCCCTGAGGTCTATGCTAGCCTGTATTTCCGTAAGAAACGGACTGCAAGAACTTAAGGTCTTGCTGTTCCAGGCACGTTTCTTTAATGGTAAAAAGGAGAAAAGAAAAAAAAGCAAGGGAGGAACAGAAAAAAAAAGCCATAAATATAAAGACTTCATATTCCAACCAGAAGAGTGTCTCTGCTCTGGGGGATTGTGTGTAATAGGCAGGACGACTGTAAGAGACAATTCTTAACATTGTTCTCCTTTGGTTCCTAGGACTGTTTATCTTGCAAAAATCTAGATCCTATCATAACCACTGTGACTCAGATTCTGAGAAAGTGCTACCCTAAGGAGTCTCTGCCTGTGGTGACAGTAAGAAGTTCTTATTTCTTCCCTCTTCCTGGGAATGCCAAGGCTGAACCTCCGTGTGAGGGATCTGAAGGTAAATGGCTGAAGGGTGAGTTCAGTAGGAGGAAAAGGAGCATGACATGAGAACTAAATGTGGGATCTGGGGAAGGGAGTGGTGGCAGCCTAGTCCTGAGGTTTACAGTTAAAGTTAATCTGATGGCCTACAGTGCCACTTAGTAGAGATGAAAATACTCCCAGGTCTTCCTGAAGCTTGGAGATTCTGGTTGGGGAATAAATGAGAGAAGATTAAAAGGAGCAAGGAAAAAGAGGGGGGCGGGAGGGGAAATCCTTCTGTTATCCAAAAAATAATGGAACAGAGTGGGCATAGCAGAGGTTGGAGATGCCATTGCTCCACAATAACAACAGAGGGAGAGACAATTGTGCCTGTGCATGACTGTTTGGGGGGGGAACACTGCCCTGCAGCTTTTTCAGTAAAGAATTGCAGGAAGTATTATCCTTTTTCCTTTCTAAAATAAAAGCAGATAGCAGTCACGCTGCATGAGTAAAAGACATGAGCACTTGCTGAAAAGCAGAACTTAAGCACAGGCAGGATAGCCGTTCCACAGAAAAGGAGAAACAACAGACTCCTTGATACACACAAGCAATTTCTCTGTTGCTTTCAGTTTTGTATGGAAAATGCTCAAATACCATAATAACGATAGCAGTAAAACACCCTAATCTAGATAATACATATTAAGAGCATCCTGTAATATCATTGCAGCCAAGCAGAGAATCTCTGTATTGCTTTGTAATACGAGTTGGATCCTATCACGGTGACATTTGTCATGGTTTTGAAAGGCAGTGCTCGAGTCCAAGAGAACAGAGAAGCGGGAGATTTAGTGCCAAATTCATTTATACTAGATTAACAAATGGGATCTGCTTTAATCAAGGTTGTGGTGGGATGTAGTTTGAAGGTGCGTGTGGCACACATAGAAGAGATTGCACATATTTCTGTGGAGGGCCTGAGAGGGATATTAGGATGAACACCTTTGCCCCTACTTCTTTTCTACTTCTGCAGGTGACTATGAAAGTGATGGAGAAGAAGAGGCTGAAAAAGACCTGGATAACGAGGATGTGGAGAGTAAGGAGGAAGTAGGTATATGAGCCATAGTTTCCTTAATCATCCACATACTGGAAAGTAAAACTTCTCATTGTCTGTTTTGACATCCTGATAAGCTGTCTAACCAGAGAATGTAGATATGCGTGTGGTCCCACATAAATACACTACATGAATAGTAGAAGGATACTTGGAAAAAGAGAAAGCACTGACTTTCATTGAAGAGAGCCCCCTGCATTTATCTTAATTGTCATTCTTGTCATCCAGGATGGTGCAGGTTTGGTGACTTCTCTGTTCCTGCAGAGAGACTGACCAGTGACTGTTAGAATCACGTGCACAGTCAGGGATAAATGATGGGTCTTTGATTCCTCTAGGTGTAGACCAGAAATGGCACTTAATAGGGGAATATTGAATTATCACCTAGGAAAGACTAACCCTCTTTTTCTTCCCATATCAGAGCATATTTGGGCTGTGCACCTACCCTAAGAAAAAGGTTAGTTCTTCTAAGCCACAGCTGAGGCATTTGAACCTATATTCCTTCTTTATTTGCTGCAGCACACAGACAAATAATACAATGAATTATTCAATGCTTTTCTGACTTCTCCCTTTGCACTCTCCCTGTCGTGACCTAACTGGCAAAAAACCCCCATACCAGCTGAGGATGAGTGTGTAAACTTTTTTGTTGTGAAAATACATACAAGCACATACAGAAATGTGAAGCAGTGAATGCTGCTAATAAGTCTTATCCACACAAAGTGGTTTGGGAAGGCAAATTAAAGAAATGAAGTTGCAAATACAGTCTAATTAGATATGATTGAGACTTCTGTAAGGGCGTTTTCATTACTTGCCCTGTCTTTTTCTCCTCAAGTATTAAAATGATGAAAAAAGGAAGTTAACACCCCCACACACACACATTAGCTCAGTGTCCTCACTTGCCCCTGTCTGGCTGTTTTTATCTGAATATTAGGGCTCATCAAGATGCTCATTAGGAATAAGGTTCATAGTGAAATTATCTCCTCCTTTAATTAGTTATTCATTCAGAAACAGATCCTATATGCCTCTCAACTATTTCATTATTCATAAGGATTTATCAAGTAGACTTTTTTTTCGCCTAAGAGCTTGCTCTGAATATGAGTTTTAAGTACTGTTTGTCTGGTGTGCTAGCCTTATCTCCCATGACAAATCTTTCTAAAGGGAAAGCAAGCAGGGAATGGATAATGAACTTTCAGTTTACCTTTTTTGTATGAGATCATTTGCACAATGTTTTCTGCTATTGATGTGATTTATAAACGTTTTCACAGCTACATAACTCAAATCCATGCATACTAGTAATACCAGCCAAACTGGAACTTGGCTCTATACTTCCATCAGTAACTGTTCAGATAGTTCTATGAAAATCAAAATCATCACATCAACTATCTATCCTTCTCAACCCAAACCTTCAGCAAGCTTGAAGCTGCTTATGCATTGTTATGCTGTTAGTGGCAAATCCTTTTAAACTGACCTCATACTCTGCAGCTCTTCATTGCCTTTTCAACTAGGCCCAAACAACAGTTCAAACTCTGCTTTGCAATACAAGTGTGGCTCGGGGTTTGAAATGCCATGGACACTTTTGCATTCAGGCAATTACTTTTTCTTTTGACAACAGCTTCAGAAATGAGTCTATTTATCAGGAGCACATAACTTCTTTGGCATTTCGTGGGCCATGCTTACTAATGACGTGTTGAATTATTTGAATAATGCTGTAACGTAATGCCCAGTCATCAATGCCATGTCTCCATCCTTCCCTCTTGCCCCATTTTTTCCTGGCTGCTTATGCAATGACTGAATGCTTGACACAGTTCGGTTTTGGTTCTCATATCTGATATGGAGGAGGTTGCACAGTTGCCTTCGACTGTGAAAGTTTCAGATATGGTTCTTATACCTGATTTGCTGATGGTTGAGATCTAAAAAGCTTTTTTCATATAAAAATATCAAGAAAGTTGGAGAGTATAGAAGATGGATTGGGCAAGAGTTTCACAGATTTTTATAAACAGGATTGAGAGATAAAAATAAAATATAAGCAATTGGTGCCTGCAAGTTCAATGATACAGGCGTGGGCCTTTCAGTTCAATTGTTAGGCACGCAGAGAAACCATGTGGTTGTCTAAATCAAAGGTAGAAGTGTCAAGCTTTCTAATTTTGCTGGTGGCCTGTGAGGACAACTTTGGCTTTGATATACTTTGAGAATTTTCTTGCTAAACATACACTTATTTGATTATTGTTTCTTTGAATCAGAATATTACCAATTACATCTTGAGGATCTGTACCTCCTGGTTTATGCAACATAAGCAAGGGAATGGATGATATGCTCAGAAATAACTAGCCGTTCTTGGTGTCTCTTATTCTGAAACCTTCCGAGCTGACGTGCATATAAAAAGGTTCAAGTTTCAGTCCTAATGCTTTTTTGAAACCATCTTTTCATGGTATCTCTACTTAAGTACTCAAATACCAAAACATCAAATTCTTTTTTCACAATGTAGTCTTTCCTCTTGTGCCTCTATTTTCTATCCCATAAAATGACTTTAACAGCCTTCATGAGTATGGGAAGAACAATTATAGGACTCATTAAATGAGTATGATGTCATTAGAAATCAAGGGTATTACGCAGAACATTACAGTCATCTTCTGGGGCAAGTTTAATATACATGCTTTTCTAATTCTGTTTTTGTAGGATTATGACTTGGAGACAGATGTGAACAAACTGAGGTCAAGGCCAACGCTTGACCGGCCAGAGGAAGAGCTTGGACAATATGAAGCAATGTGTCCAGAACTTTCCCATAATTTTCAGGTACTATCATAGTGCAGCTTCCTTTATTTGTGAATATTCAAGAGTTTAAGAAATACTTGAAAGGGAGTACTCACAAGAGGTAACTAGACAAGGCTATTGCAAAAGGAAACCTAGCTGTCTTATAGGACTGGAAAAAACAAAGATTAAGATTTTTGCTATATTTTATTGGTGTGAATCAAGAGTGATAGAAAGGGAGTGATGTTGTTTGGTGCACATTTGGCTGGGTATGGATTAACTAGCACTACTGAATCAATTGCCACATGAGAAATCTGTCAGATAATAATTTGTATCCTTGCTGGCAACTTCAACGGCAATATCAAGATCAAAATGAGATGTGGAAAATAAATACTGTCAACTAGTGTCCTGACCGAAGTGATGGAGAAGATTGCACTGCTGCTGAGTGAAATGTACAGTTCAAATCACTGTTCTATTGCAGTTTGGGAGAAGAATGGAGTATGGAGTATTGCACTCATTACAAATCTTGGAATTTAGGAGAGCTGAAACCTGTGATTCAAATATGAATCTGGAAAGGACCACTGGCTTAATGTATCTCCTGTAGACACAATGCTGTGACATTTATTATGACCATAACTAACAAAATGGGATTAATTTATACACTTGCATGAAGGCAGGGGTGGAGTTTTGCATGACAGATTGGCCTCCTTTACCCTGCTGTAACACTTACACTCTAAAAAAAATGCCTTGCGAATTATCTTGCCTGATTTGTTAGAACAATCAGCTTTGGTTGGAGATGACTCACCCAGATGACTCAGTCTGATCCTTTTAGTTTCTGAGGACTGCTGTTGAAACAGCTTTGTGGATAAAGAAATTCTGGCAGGTGGTCCATGGGCTGATTTTATTCTGGCTGTCTCATTGGATGAGTACAGTTTTGGGAGATTTGTAAATATTTTCTCTTTCTTCCTTGAAAGGTTTCCTTTGGAAGGAGGCACAATCTGTCTTTAGTTTCTTTTAATTTCTTCTGCTTTTTAAATTTAAAGGAGCTCGAATCAGAATTTGAGGAAGACAAGAGCTTGGAGGACAGGACTGAGAATCTTTGCTCTACTCCCTCTCATTTCATTCCAAGTGCTACTTCTGTGAAACATCCAAACTACAGATGGAGAAACCAAAGTGTCACAGAGATGGGACCAGATCCAGAGGAAAAGGATTTCAAAGTCCCACTGCAGAGCTGGACGAAGAAGGAGAAATGCAGATGGGATCTGACTGATGAAAAGAGAGACATTGTAGAAGCAGTCCAAGATGCAGACTCTTGTGAAGAGGAAGACCCAGCCAGGAGTCACATGCTTACTTTGCGCCCTCTCCCAAAAGAGGCTGCTTGGTACAAAAAAATGTTTTACCCTGAATGTGAGGCCTCGAACAATCCCGGTCCTGGAGGGAGGCTGGAGAGCTCAGACACAGTGAGAAATCTTCTGGAGAAACACCAAGGGGATATCCCATTCCAGAGCCCTCGCTTCTACGTAGCTAGGGCCAAATGTGTTGAGTCCATACCAGACTACAAAGACTTGGCATTCCCTGATTTCTGGGGTCACCAGCCACCTCCTTACAGCAAGCCCATGTTGGAGCGCAAGTATGGGGTTCAAAGGTGATTGTGCTCTAGTGTAACTACCTCACTGAGAGCTCTCAGGCTCAAAACCGGTTTATGTGTGTTCTGACTATCACATCTCTGAATGTTTTAGGAAGTTATAGAATGAATTTTGGGCTATCCAGTAATTTGTTGCAAGGAGATAGGCCAAACAGCAGGATGATTTTATTTAGGTTTTGCTCCTGAGGAAAGGAAAATGGTATCTAACTGGATTATGAACAGTTAGATTAGGAATCTAGCAGGCTTATTTCCTATCTCTGACATGAACTTTCTGTGTGTTAGTGGATGAGTTGTGAACTGTCTGAGTTGCTTTCTTTGTTTCATAGCTGAAGGTGGTAGTGGCAACCTTCGAGTGAGATTTTTATGGCTTCTGTGAATCCATAAGGACTCCTCTATCTCATATTCCAAATTGTTATTACTTAAACTAATTATTGATAAATGTATCCGTGTGCCTATGTATGTGATGGGACCCTAAACTGGTGAAAGCTCTGACATAGATTTATTAGTGGCTTTTCCTTAAAGTAAGCAGATCAAAACCCAGAATGAGCCGTGAATCTGTGACCTCGTTAGAACACAAATGAAAGCAAGTTCATTTTAGAGATGGAGAAGACTGTGTCCTTTTGGGATACATTTTGATGTAAAGGATACACCTTTAGTGTGTTCAACAATGGGTCCCATCTGGCTTTTTAAGGAAAAATCCTTTCTGTCCTCTCAGAGCTGTGTGTCTGTGTCAGGTTCTTCCTGGGAATCTCCCTGTCTACCCTTCTGCTGCTGTGTCCCTTCTCATTGTGCTTCTTGCTCTCTGCCTGCTCCATGGGGACCTCCAGAAGCTTCTCTTCCTTCCCTAGCATGTGCACTTGCTTCTGGGAAGTCTCTCGGGAGCTAGAGAGCATCAGCGGGGACAAGGTAAGTAAGGTGCTTTCCCTCCCTGCTGCCCAGCCTGCTAGGAGAAGACAGCATATATGGCATGCAACACGCAGAAAAAAAAGAAACAATCTCCCCTATGGCACACTGCTAGAGGCTGCTGTTTTTGTCATGTTATTTCAGGTGTTCAGATGAGGGGAAAGCTGTGTTTTGAAGCTGTGCTGGGAGAGGAAGCTCCTCTTATAACTATCATTTTCTGTTCCATGTGTGGCTGCGTGCAATGACTTTACATTTCTTTTTAGTGGCATAGGGAATTACTAGCAGATAACAAAGAGGCTGGATTCTGTGCTAAACTTTAAAGCTGATCAACACTAATTAAATGGCATTTGTGACAACCACTGATTCCTGAGCTCTAGAGAGGTAATGACTCTTTCTGCAGCAAATATAAAAGCTAAAAATCTTATTTAAAGGCAAAATCACTCTACCATCTTCTCCTTGCACTGTTGCTCTAAAAGATTTGCTTTTATGACTTTAATAACATGTGTAACCATACAGCTAAAATGGGAATAATCATATCATGCTTCAGGGCATAACGTGATTGCTGCAAAGGTCAGGAAAAAAATCTGGTGTTCCACATTTGATCATCTTCAGGGATCAGAGAACTTCAGTTTAATAACGAGTAGAAATTAGCTTGATTTAGAGTCAAGATTCACTATGAGACAGACTAGTAGGTTTATAAGTTATGGCAGGCCATTTGGGAGATTGACATTGACTGGGAAGAATTGGGGATAAATCAAACTTGACAGAATACTGTACAGAATAAAAATTTTACAGAATCAGTCATTTGACCCAAAAAGCAACTTGTTGTAATGGGAATGGAGCAGGAGCTTTCTCATGGTTTAAAAAAACCCCCCCCCCCCCAAAAAAAAAACCCAATTAAGTTCACCTGGAAGTCCTCTTTCTTACCAGTTCTTCAAAGGAATTTCCTAAACCTTTTCATATTTCTTCTACAAGATTACCCTATACCAGGATTTCTCAGTGTCGTTACAATTTACCTTTTGTTTTGTTTTTTCCTAGGGACAAAGTACTAGATGATGTTCGCCGCTTAATCCAGCCAAGTGATGTGATAGGCAGAACTGTTTTTGATTTAGATGAGCCCAGGTGGGTACCTTAAATTACCGTAACCAGGGGCACTGTCAGTGCTGGGTTAGGTAGTGAGCTCGGTTTACTTGTTCAGCTCTGACAAAGGTATAGAAGAAATAACCTAGGAGGTAAAGGCCCAACAGGAGAAGTATACAGGAGGAACAGATTCCTAGTATGTGGCTCTGGGAAAAGGATTTATTGTGGAAGTCACTGGAGCAAGAGAGCCTCAAAACTTTTTAGATAGAACAAGAAAATCTGTACATCAAAGGGACTGTGTGGTGTCCCTGAATATGTGCATTGCACGCAGTGATTTGGAACAGAAGCACGCAGGCTGGTGCTGGGAATTGTACCTGTCTATGAATCCAGATGCAGTCTCTCTGCACCCTGAAGCAACATTTCCCATTCGGAGTGAACTTGAGTGTCTGTATGGCTGGTGTCACAGGCTGCAGCTGTACCCTGAAAGGTGGGGCACTTATAAAAGGCTTCTGAAAAACAAACATCCAGCCTTGTGAATTGTTTTAATTGTTTTAAATGCTCAATGATGGCCAGGAATTGTGGTCCTTGAGAAGGACCTGCACAGGGCAGTTGAGAGGGTCCCAAATATGAAGAAATTGCATTCAGATGAAGGATGAATGACTCGGAGAATATTGTTTAGAGGGGAAAAAAAGAGTGAAGGACAGTTTGAGGTAGGAGAGAGTTGTGAAGTTGTTCAAGATGAATTTAAGGGTTTCTAAGCTTTAGGAGAAGGAAACTATATAGATGAGGGAAGAGTAAATGTATAGTAATTGTATAGAGCTGCCTTGTGCAATTAATAAATTAATGGGAGTAACTCAGTGGGGAAAGTTATTGGAATAAAAAAGTAAATATGAACTGGGACAAAAAGGGAATATAGGGAAAGGAAAAGGTGAGATTTAGAAACACTAAGCAAGAGTAGAGAAGGATGCTGGATTGGATAGGCAGATTATGGATTTGCTCACCTCTTGCTACTTTTCAGGGTCTTGCTTATAAAAAACCTGTATTAGTGTACAAAAGGTGCTGGGAAAGACTTGTCTTTGAAGCAACCTGCTATAGGTATCCTTGCTTTGATTTACTGCAGTCACTCAAGCCCAGGTGCTCCAGGCTGTCTGAGATTCTTCTCCAAGTTTGAATCAGGAAACCTTCGCAAAGCCATCCAAGTGCGTGAGTAAGTATGCCTGCAGCGGCTGTGTCCCAGCCAGCCTTTCTGCTGTGACCACAGCGTGAAATGCTGGAGTTCTCCTGGGTTCAGAAAGGGTTGGCCAGGGAAGCAGGTTTTATGACTCAGTTTATGACGCCTGCCAACACCTAGATCTCATGAAAGTAACAGCAATGAGAAAGCAGAGCTCAAAAAGTTTTGACATGACTAACTGTGTGAGTATTTAATGGTGTGTTTGGGTACCGCTAGTTTGATGGTGTTCTTTGACTCTTATAGGATATTAATGAATTTGATGGTATAGCCTGCTGTCCTCGGCAGGTTCAGTGGCAGACTGGTGGGGTGTTCATAGCCACCATTTTTTTTGTCTTCCTTGACAGGTTTGAGTATGACTTAATTACGAATGCAGATATCAACAGCAACCAGCATCACCAGTGGTTCTACTTTGAAGTCCGTGACATGAAATCAGCAGTTCCCTATCGCTTCAACATTATCAACTGTGAGAAGTTCAATAGCCAATTTAATTACGGTATGAATCTTTGGGGAATTGGGATAGTCTCCTGTTCACAAGAATCTTTTTAATGCTGTAAAGGTTTTGAACTTTCCATGTCTATAAGGGAGACTGTAAGTTTAATCTTATCTGCCCTGAAATCCACTGAAAGTTACTTTAGATTTGTCAAAGGACCCTTCTCTATCCTCAGGAGACCTGGGAGAGGATTTGTGGGGAAAAAAATGTCATTGTTCTGTATTTAGAGACCAGAACTGAGGAAGAATGGCACTGGGGTTGGGAGAGGGGAAAAAAGACAATCTGTCGGAATTGAATGAGCAGCATAGAATTGGAAAATGCTTCTAAGATGTAAATAAATGTAGGTAATCCTCAAACAAATATTCATGATTCTTTGCGCTTATCCAGAAAGTCATCTCTGCCTTTAGACCTGCTGAGACTTCTGCTGATATTAATGATAAAAAAATTTCTGTTCCTGGCTGCCTTTAAGCTCCTGTCATAGTCTGTGGTTCAGGAGGAAGTGGCATTGCTCAGAAATAGGCAGGGCAAATCCCAGCTTTCAATGTCCATTTTAGAAGAGAAATTATTTCTTCTGCATGGAGACTGTGGGTTGAATTCTTAGCTGGCATAGGCTGGTTTTTTTATTTGTTTCCATGGAGCTGTGTTAATTTACACCAGCTCAAGACCTGACTCAGAATGTTTAATAAACCCCTAATATCAGACTTTGCATTCCTCTGAAGCCCTGTGGATACAGCCTTCGACATCACCAGGAGAACTCTCTCAGGATCAATGTACCTAAAACAAATAGCACTAGGAGCTGGAATGACTTGTCACTTGTACTTGTGAAACTGGCTGGATGAGTGGCATAATGAATTATAATGCTTTTGCTCTTTAACCCTAAGAGCTGGAGTTCGAGTATTCATATAGATCCCAAATGAAAATGAATTTTTTTTTGTCATCTTATTCTGCTTCCCTGAATTACCGAACAATTCAGTGTTGGTGTGTCTGGTAGCAGCCTGAAAATGAAGTATGTTTAGGTCCTACTGTAAACCCCAATACAACCTCTGATACAGCCACCAGTAGCTTCATAGCTAGAGATTCTGGCGGTTATTGGTAGAAGGTTGCTTGTTATCTGCTAGTTTGGCTGTTGTCAGGATTTATAATCTCACTTTGTGAACCTGAAACTGTACATGACTCTATGTTCAAGCGTGCAATGAAAAATATATTTGGAAGAAGAAAATGTGAAAATACCATCCAGTGTAAGGAGGGAGGCTAAGCCATGGCTTGCCTTTGTATGGCTTGTACGTGGGACTGGCTGTTAAAGCAATCCTTCTGTGGGTTACTTCTTCTGCTCTGAGAGGGCAGTGAAGCTCTAGCCTACCTGGCTTGGCTGAGCGAGACTCGCTACCCCTTCCAGCACATGCATAATATTAACACAGACCGTTGGTAGGAGATGCTGTTTATTTGCTACATTCCCTCTGCACTTTCCTGGGCTAATGCCTATGCCATAAAACTAAAAGCTTCCAGTTGTGATGTAGTGTCAAAGTGCCATGGGTGGCAATACTTTACAGCTCCTAGTTACTGATCTGTTTTGATTTTTCACTTCCCTTTTACTCTAGGTTAGATGACACTGTGTAATTTTCAAATCAGCAAGAAGGATATTTCATGAAATAGTTGTGACCAGGAGCAGAGCAAGTCAGGAGGTGCAGCCTCCACCTCTCTCCTTCACCCTTTTCCACCAACTTACTCCACCATGGGAAATAATGAGATTTTAGTCAGAAACCTGATCTGTGTTTTTTTTTCTACAACAGAATGTTTCCATAGCGAAAGTGGAAAGGAAAAACTGATTTTTTTTTTTTATTAAAATGAGATGGCAGACCAGTATCAACCATTGCTCAGAGGCAGTTTGGGGGGGTGTGTCCTTTGGACTCAGAGAAGGGCAGGAGCTGGAATTTGGGATGTTGAGAGCACTGCAGACCATGAGCCTCACATCCCTTTTCCGATGAACTGGGCTTCTGGGCAGGCCTGTGTCTCTCAACCCACTGTGGCCCATGTCCTGGAACCAAACACAGAATTGCTTCTTGTACGTGGCTCACGGCACTGGTTTAGGAAACAGCAATATAGAGGTTACTCCTTGCTGTAGGCCAGTTAGTGCTACGACAGCCACAGGTGAGCTGGAAAGGCATTTCTGCCGGTACACTTGCCAGCTCTTAAAACACTGGAGAGTTTAACGGAGAAACCCAAAGGAAGAAAGGAAACTGAATAGCTGCTCATGGAAATGTTATCAGTATTAATGATTTTCAAGCATCGCCTCCTCCCAGCACAAGAACAGCCAAGAGAAGGCTCAGGGGGCAACTTATCCACATTCATAAATACTCAAAGGGTGTTTTTCCCTTTCTTAAATACACTTTCACAAAAGTGCTGCCAGCATCATTGCTGGGCTCAGCTGTGGCTGTGCTGGGTCTGCTGGAGCTGGCTGGCACCACCCCGGGGCAGAGGCCACCCCTGCAGCCCCCAGCTGCCAGCACCTTGCTAGGGACACCCCCTGCAGAGACCTTCACTGGTGAGGGCAGGATCATCACCGTACCTGTAAAAAAGCAGGCAGGTGTGTAGAGCAAAAGAATTTGATACAAAACTGCCTGCAGACAGGCTGGCTTCATGGAGCTGTGAGTAATGTATACGCAGCTCAGATCAGAGAAAGCCTCGTACCTTGGGGCATGGAATGGTAATATTTTGGAGGTCAGGAAGAAGTCATCTTCTGGTATAATACGGTACAAAGATGGATGCTATTGTTATCAGCATTTATGACACAGGTATTATTTAGGTCTAATGGCAAGTTTAAAACCTTCTAGTTTTGCTTGCTACTTTCTGAAGGTACAGTACTGGATGCACTGCAGATCTCTAATGCTGTGGTAGGATTAAGGATGCAATAATGGTGCAGCCAAGCATAAAATATTGAACTAAACAAATTACTGATCTTGTTGATACCTCAATTCCTATTCTTTTCTTTCCCTTCCTCTGTTTGTAAACAGAGCAGCTTGAAGTCCTCCTTTGCAAAGGCCAGTCAGATAACTTATTTTCTAATGAACTCCATTCAGCTCACTTCTGGAGGTGCTTTTTGTACAGACATGGCTATATCAGAACAAAGCATGGGGCTTTGGGAAATGTATTTACTTTGCATAAACTTATCTGCAGAGAGAGCACAGGCAAAATAATGATGCTCCTTGGTTAGTCTTTTTCTCCCCGTCCCTGTCTTTTCTAGCCAGGGAAGTCATGTCACTTGAAATCATCTTGTTTTATGTAGGCATGCAGCCAGTCATGTATTCAGTGAAGGAAGCTCTCCAGGGCAGGCCTCGCTGGCTTCGGACAGGCCATGATATCTGCTACTACAAGTAAGTGCATTTTTGGTGAATAATTTGTGGCTTCCTTTCCCCTCTGTTCCTCTCCTGTTAACTGCATTGATGTTGTTAACCTTTGACCACCAGTGCCACCTGTTTCAAATGTCTCTAAATTGGTGCTAGTTCAATGTGTTATGTGCTTCCAGCTTCAGGAAACAGCCACAAGTGAGATCTCTGTATTAGATGCCTGGGGAGAAAACAGGGCACGTGCAGAATTCACTTCCGAGGAGGAAGGAGGAGGAAAGGGAATGGAGGTTGCTCAAACCTTGCTGATGCAGCCAGGAATACAAGGAAGCTTAACCCACAAAGGCAGTGTAGTTGGCTTTTTCCCCCTGTCCAAGAAGAAATGAGCTGGATGGAATAATTGTTTTTCTTTTGCATACATTGACTTTTCTGAGAAACATAGGAGCTGAGGAGCTAAAGAAGGGTTAGCATATACATAGGGGGTGTGTGTATACATATATATACACACACACTAGGTACTCCTCTATGTATAGGTAGAAATAGCCATATACAAATACACATTTATTTATCGGTTTGTGAATCTATCTCTGTACCTTAGTATCTTCACCAGCTTCCCTTCTCTGCAAAGCTGGAACTCAAATCCTAGAAGGCACACTTCTCTGTGGACCGCACTTATTGGCACCATGGCACTGTTTATAGACCTTGTCCTGATAGCAGAAACAGTAGGGATTGGCCTTACTCAATCTTGTACAGGAACTTTTATCTTTCTACTGGGGCCAGGCAACAGTGGTGTAAAGAAGTTCTGACAAGCTCAGGGCTGATATTTATGCAAGTTCCCTGTTTCAGGCTGTTTCTGCAGTGTGTCAGCACCTCAGAAGAAAAACACTAGATCAGTCTCGTCTTCAACTTATATCTGAGCTGGAGCTTGACACATGTGAGAAACATTCTGACCCAAGTATCTCATTTTCATGCAGAAAACTGATTCCTGATTCATTCTGGTTATTACAGTCAAAGGAGACAAGTGCAGAGCTTGGGGTTTCAGTAGGTTGAGTGAACCCTGCTTTACTCTCTCAAGGTTTCCAAAATGTTATCCACAACATAATTATTTTAAAGATGATGATTGAAAGGGTTTTCAGGACTAGGTGGTGTGGTTTAACCCAGCAGGCAGCTAAACACCACACAGCCGTTTGCTCGCTTTCCCCCCCGCTCCCCGCAGTGGGATGAGGAGAGAATCGGGAATAAAAGCAAGTAAAATTCACAGGTTGAGATAAAGATAGTTTAATAGGACAGAAAAGGAAAGGAAAATCATAATAATGATAAAAGAATATACAAAGCAAGCGATGCACAACGCAGTTGCTCACCACCTGCCGACTGATGCCCAGACAGTCCCCGAGCAGTGGTCACCACCCTCTGGCCAACTGCCCCCAGTTTATATACTGAGCATGATGCCATATGGTATGGAATATCCCTTTGGCCAGTTTGGGTCAGCTGTCCTGGCTGTGCCCCCTCCCAGCTTCTCGCTGGCAGGGCAGGAGAAGCTGAAAAGTCCTTGACGAGTGTAAGCACTGCTTAGCAGCAACTGAAACATCGGTGTGTTATCAACACTATTCTCATCCTAAATCCAAAACACAGCACTGTACCAGCTACTAGGAAGAAAATTAACTCTATCCCAGCTGAAACCAGGACACTAGGACAACTGGTATGTTTTGGATTATAAAATCTGTGCAGAGTTGAAGGCTGGGGGACAGAATAGAACAAGTAGTAAAATTACAGGTGTGAGCAAATGCATTTGGTTGAGTGGGATGTCTGTGAATGATGCAGCCTGGGGTGGTGCAAGCAGGCAGAGGAGCCCTGCACTAGAAAAAAGAGGTCATACGTTGAGAATGAATTGGTAGAGCATTATGGATGAAGTTCACATACTTTGTAACCAAATACTGGAGCATTTGGTGTTAATTAACTATTTTATCCTGGCCTTACCTGTCACAATGTGAAAGCTGAGGCTGGGAATGCCTGAGTGACAAGTTTTCCCACTTTTTTTTTCTAATTACTTTTTCTGTCATGATTCCTATTCACCAGTTTGCATCACCAAAACACCTCGGTGTCTCAGGACTCTATGGGTACTGCGTTAGGCACTGTATAAACAAACCGAAAGTCTGGTCCTTGCCCCTAATACCTTGCAGTGGAAGCACAGGGCTTGGGCTACCCAATGACTGTAGACGGGCAGGGAAATACAAGAAAACAAAAGGTGTTAACACAATTAACAATAATGATAATTGTCTGGCATGGTAAGTAGTGCTCTCAGGACAGAGCTGAACTTTTCTGATATTCTCAGTGGTACTCCTTTCTTCATGAACTCATGTGATGAGGCTGATTTTAGAATCTGATGTGAAATAATGGGCTTTCTCTTTGTAAGAAATTCTATTTGTGTTGTAGTTCACAATTTTGCTGTTAGGTTCAGAGGTGGCTATGTTCACAAGTGGATTTGATGAGACCATAAACCCAGACAATGACAGTGGGCTGCCTTCCAGAAGTAGCAGAGCCTCAAACTTGTGTTGATACAAAAAAATTCCAAGTCATCCTAAATATGTGTTGTAATCTTTTTTTTTCTTTTGGGGGTGGGGGGCGGTGCGGGGCTGAAGGTTCAGATTATCGTCTCTCAGCCTGGCATCCTGTCTGTAGCAATCTGCGTAGCTTTTTTGTTTTGTTCCAAGTCGTCTTCACTAACCTTTATTCACCCAACCTTTTCTACCTCAAGAGCTAACGTACTGTGGTGCACTGGCTTCCCTTTGCATGCCTGTAACTTCTGGCTTCTGCGAGTACGGGCTTCTGGTTGGGCAAACTTTATATGCTGATTACCATAGCAGTGGCTTCTTAACAAGGCAGTTATTGTGCAGTGATTAAACAGCAGCTGACTTCTGAGATTAAGCTGTGATTGTACAATTAAGCTTGTAATCAGATTCTTGTTCAGGCTGTGTGAGAGAATGGAGTTTTATTGATTTGGAATATTCTGTGTTTTCTAACTGTACACTGAATTATATGTCAACATATTCATCTAGGATAACTACTTGTTGTCGGTCTCATTTACAGTTTGTTCCAGGTTTACACGTTTTTGTATATACAAGAATGCGCATACACACACATGCACTTTCACCTCTACTGAAACTCTAATCTTTTTCTTTCAGTGGTTACAGAAGAGATTCCCAGGCATGAGAAGCTGTATGTGGGAGGGAATCTGAAAAAGTACATTTGGGGTTGCTCAAACTTTGGCTCAGAATAGGAGGAGATGGGATTGCTATAGTGATATCATGCTGCTTGTGTTTTGGGGAAAGAACTTGCTTCACTTCCATTCACCCTGGTCACAGGTATCCTTGGGTGGGACTGGCACATTTTGAAGGGAGCCTCATCTCGTTACTTTTACCTGGAGTTATTAATAAATATGGGAAGAGTGATACACTTACAAAAATAAGGAGGAACTCAAAGATGCCCTTAATTGCTTTTGCAGCAGGGTTTTTATTGAGAGCAACCTCTGAGCTGAAGGGCAGTGGGAGGAAAGGCATATTCGCAAGATGTCTGGGTGATGCACAGAGGCTGATCTTTGCTGACATTCATCTTCAGTGAACATGGGATAGTTTACTCATAAAGACAAATGTGGCACAGCTCCGACATCGCATACCTTTCCCATATGTCTCATGAGAGTTTTTATGTTACGGAGAATATTAGCAGTGCTCTTGTCAAAAGGAAGCTGAGTGACACTTCTGCTTTATTTTATTGCCTCTCTGTGAAGTGACAGGATACACCCATGATAAACAGAGTTGCAGTTACTATAAGATCATCTAATTCACTTGCTGTCTTGGCAGCTTTTATGCGCTGAATAATATTCCTTTCCAGCAAATTGTTTAAGGAACAATGGCAGCATGCTGAATTGGTGACAATGTGCTTGTGCTTTTGGTTTCACGGCTCATTCTAAGTATATTATCTAACCTCCAGCTCTTCCAGACAACAGTCAGTTCACAGATAGTAATGAGGTACATGGAGTGTTTTGTTCTCACACCACCACTGCAGACTTGGCTGTTTGGTGATCACAGCAGTGTCAGAACTAGGTCTCCTCTTTCTCTCTTCAGCATCTTTATAATCACATTAGATGAAATCATCATCATAGCAAAAGCAGGCCACCTCCCAGTTCTAATGATATCTACAAGAGAGGGCTGAAGCACCAGTCTCAGGCTGAGAGCACCTGACCTTTACAATATGACTGAAGGCCTTAATAGCAAGATGGCTGTGGGAATATTCTGCTTCAACTGGGATTCTGCTTGCCATCCTGACAGTAAAAATGCTTTAACATGGATTTGGCCCTCGAAAGGGAAGTTGTTTTGCATTTTCCAGTTTCCAATGTGGCAGACTCCAAAATAACAGCTGTGCCCCATAAGTTGTTAAATACTGCTTTTTTTATGGTATGAACCAAGGCGTTACTAAAGCATATTGCACTTAGTAGCCACACTTAGAGATGTAAGAAGGTCAGGGCATGTAAAATGAGGACACCAGACTCCAGGTGGTAGAAGGATTTTGGACAAAGGGAATGCATCAGCAGATTAGAAGTGATAAATAGTTTACTTTCCATTTGGGCTCTGTTTTGAAATGGCCTAGAAATCTGGGATATTGATATTTTCTCCTGTCATTTTAGTCTAAGTTGATACAACACCATATTCCATCACCTACCAGTGCTTTGTATTATACTAAATGCTGCAGACAGGAAGTCTAAAGATGAGATGACCAAGAGATGTTGTTCTTGTATTGAATTCCTGAGATACAATCCATCTCCTTTACTGACCTGCCTGAATCTTTGGCCAAGTGGATTCACCTGTCTGTGTCTCAGTTTCCTCATTTATAAAGGATGGAAAATTAGTCACTTATCTGCCACCCAAAGAATGGGAATAGATAAATGGGAAGCAAGTTTTAATTAGATAATGCTTGCAAAGGTCTTTTAAGCTCAAAAAATTGTTGTGCGGAATAAGTGATAAGTAGTAGTATAATTATTATTAATTAACTTTCCATCACAGCTATGCTAGAAATATACTACCTGTACATTATTTCTGAAGAACAGCAAGCAAAATGGTTTAACTCTTACGAAGTGACTGAAAGGCACAGTAGATACAGCTTGCATGCTAATTGAAAACCCCACACTTTCGTCTTTTTTTTTTTTCAATAATCAGCGTATTAGTTTCTAGAGAGCACATGAGACTTTGAACACTTTTTGAAAGAGAGCACAAATAAGGTAGGGAGGACCGGGTGTTGCTATGGTCTTTCTTTCCTTCCCTCTTCCTTGCTTGTTAATTTGGGCTTCATGCTGGTATGGTAGAGTGTTGTGATGAAAAAGGGGTGAGGAATTAAAACTATCAGCCTGGTGGAGGAACAAGGAGGCAATAGAGTCATCTTGGGGTGACAGCAGTAGGAAGAGAGGGAGGCAAGGGAGAAAAATGCCTTTTTTTAGGTTTCTTTAAAAAAGATTCAGAGCTACTGCATTGTATGATGGATTGTGAGACCAGATTATATGCAGTAGGAATACATGATCACTTACACTGCTTACACACCCATGGCTTTTCTTTTTAATGCATGAGTGAAGAATATTGAAGCCTCACAAAGTCACTTGTGAACTTCCTGTTACTGCCAGATAGTTTGCTATAGATTGAAGCAGGTGTCAAGAAGTGATTCCAAAAGTCTGGAAATATCTGTTCTGGGCGGGCAGTTTGCTGGAACTGCAGAGGTGCTCAACACAAGAACGAGTGCTGCTAAGCAGTTCAGTGAGAGCGCTGTGCATCGGTACCCTCAGGATCACGCGATCTGAGCACTGTCAGGAGTAAGGACTATTGACTACCAGAGCAGCATCAAGGTCAGAGGTGTCTGGTGGTACAAAACTTCTGGGTTAAGCGGCATCTTAGATAGGAGAGATATTTTTGACTGCACAGTTACAGACTACAGAGGGAGAAGCTTTTACTGGAGCATTAGGCACAGGTGGGAATACTTTCCCCAGTGTGTATGTAAGACATTTAGGCAGTATCTGCCCACAAAGACCTGTTTCCTCCCACACCTCTGACTACAGATGTGAATTTGGAGGGGAGGACTAGGAAGATCTCAGCACTTAGTGACAGTTCTTTATGAATAAGGTCATCTAGCCATCCAACTGACTCATCTCCATAGCCTCTATCATATTCAGTGTACTTTCCTTAGGTGCTATACAAGAAATAGTTCTTAATTATCCTTCACTGTCAAAATTAACAGGAACTAGATTAAATATCATTGTCCTGACTTAAAAAATACCACCTCAAATCCTGGATCCACTGAAATACATATATAATAGCTAAGTAGATGTTTCTATCTGGGTGGTTTCACTGCATTTTTTTCCTCTTTGTCCAATATTAAGGTGGTTTATTTGCAAAAGAAATGTTGGGGTGAAGGGTTCAGCTGAGAATAAAATCATGGGCTTTTCAGTCTGCCACTGTGACTCAGTGTTCCTGTACTATCTATTGATCCAGCCAGTATCACTCACACCACATGTTCCTAACTATTAAATTCAGGTGAAAACCCAGCAGCAGTGTATTGTATCTTCTTTATGAAAAAGAGCTGATTATTTTGGAGAATTTGACAAGAATAATTATCTTTTCTCTCCACCCCTTTGAATAAAAATGAACAGCAGCAAAATAAACTAGTATTGTAAATTTCAGGAGCTGAAATTGCATCTTTTGGTTGCCTCTTCTATTTTGCATTTTAATGCAACATTGATGATAACATTTGTCAAAGAAACCTCACAGTCCTTCAGAATCAGAAGGTTCGGCAACAGTGTAATTGGTCCAATGTGGGGAAAATATTGTATGAAATGTATTTATGGATGCGATTTGCTGTGAGGTTTCTCCCTAAAGTGTGTGAATTGTCTCTTCATCTCTGCCGGAAAAAAAAAAACTTTCTTACTCAGCCTAAAGTAATTTCTTTATCAGAGCAAGTCTCCTGCAAGAGATTTGGTCCTGGGATGAGGCTGGGAAGCTCACTTTAAGATTTTGTAGTTCTAACGAAGGGGTGTCAAGGGCCTGAGTGCACTAGTAGACCTTGATGACCCTGACCAGCCTCACCCAGGGCCCCCACCCACACCCTCTGCCCATGGGCCCAGGAGCTCTATTTAAGCTCTGTCTTGGCCACTCAGTCCCTGTCTGAGCTCTGTTGTAGCGAGGCTCAGCTCAGTCACTTCTGTGTCTGTGCTTTGCTGTGAACTCTGGTGATCTAGATCCTGACCCGTGGACAGATTGCCTGGCTTGATCCAGGCATGCCTCCTCACCACAAACTTCTTCGATGATCTGGATGTGTGGTTGAACCTGTCTGCCCCCGCTAGCCTAGGCATGCCCTGCTCAGGTACTGTGGGAGGGGACCCTGGCTGGCAAGACCCCTGCTCTGCTGGCTTCCATATTAAGCTTGGCTTCCATATCAAGCTCAGCTCCCTATCTTTTAGGGAGCAACTGGTCCTCTCTGCTCCCTGACAGGGGGAGGCTCAAGTCTTTGAAAAGGAGGGATCCAAAAGAGAGGATTTTTTGGGTAGCTTGAAACCTGCAAATCTGTATGAGGTCGCTTCTCCTCTGTGTGTAGTCTCTACCCAAACCCACTCTCCTCCTCTTTCTATTCAGGAAACAGCCTTTGATATTTTAAATATTTTTATGTATGTCCTATTTTTTTTTTTAATTCCTGGAATATCACTTTTCTTCCTGTGGTGGAACTGAATGGTTGGTTTGGTAGGGTATTCATATTTTCTAAATCTCCAGGCTTTCACAGAATATTTTCACATGGCATTGTTCAGGGCTGTGAATAGGTACCTGCATCTCTGAGCAAGATAATTTGGATGTCAGAAGCAATGCAGCAGTGTTAGCTGAATGCATTAGTTTAAATATGTCTGGACTGTGCTATATGAACTTGTATTAGCTGACTTCTTATTTGCACCTTCACAAAATGAAACAAACTTATTTTCCTACGGGAGTGCTCCCATCCATCAGCAGCACGTGACTAGCTGCGGCTGGCTGTGCCCAGTACTGCCACACGCAGTTCTGCCTCTTAACTCTCTGCTGGTCTTTGTGTACTGCATGAATCCCAAGACACCCTTGAATCCGGTGTACCACCTTGGTCAGAGGTATTTACCATCGTGATCCTGTTGGCATCTCTGTCTAGTGGAGCCATGGTTTCTCTAACCTTCCTTCTTTCCTATAGCCTGTAGGTATGTTGCTGTGTTACTGGATGTTGTTTACACTTATATTTTTGTTTCTGTTCATTGCTGGGATTGGATTGATTGTACTTGTGTGGGGCTTTCCCAGTCTTGGCACAATGACTGGTTGAGTTTGGAGCCCATTTACAGCATGAGATGAAAACTTAGAGTAGACGCTTCTCTGAATGCTTAGTTCTTTCATGGCTGCTCCAAATATGTATCTGGAAGTGATAACCGTCTATTCCCCTCTTTCTCTTTCTCTAGAAACCACTACCGCTGCAGTGCAGCTGCAGGAGGAGGCATGAGAGGAAAATGCTACTACACGCTCACCTTCAGCATCAAGTTCCCTCACGAAGATGATGTCTGCTATCTGGCCTACCATTACCCCTACACTTACTCCACAATGATGGTAATACCGATATGTCCACCTAGATAAGCTAATGTGCCTGACAGTTTGGAGCTGCCTTGGGTATGAGATTTTGAGATAGCGTAGAGAAATTTCTGTATGGGATAAGCTGAGGTACACCCATTAGTGCTTATACCAGTCAGAAGATAATGCAAACCAAAGATGTCTCCATCTGCTTGGGATGAGAAGCAGGGGGCTAAAGATAATGACAAGTCAGAAGTGCAAGCTGCCTGTTCCTTCTCCTGACAGAAGGTAACAGCTCAGCTTTCAGAGCTGCACCGGGCAACGCCACAGTGCTGGACCTCATGTGAATGCCTTTGTCAGCTGTTTCCTCTGTGCCAGGTGGAGTGTCAGTAGGCATTTGTAACACCCCCACCAGTGCTGTCAGTACAGAAACTAAAAGAATACAAGTCTAAGGCGTAAATTGTATTATTAAGTTGTACCAAGTTTGATTCCCAGTGAAGGATTTGTTTTCTACAGTCTTTTCTGGCCAGGGGTGGATGGTAAGGGAATTTCCTGGAAAATACATCCATTGTGCTTTCTCTGATTGATGTGAGAGAGCCCAAGGTCTGAAAGGAAGGTAGGATAAAAGAAAGGAAATGAATGGTTCTGGGAGTAGCTTTGCTTTGTTGATAAAGATGAGAAAGATGTTACTGAAAAAGAAGACACACAGTTCCAGTAGATCAGTTCCCCTTCCTTGTGTCCCCAGTTTCCATTGTCAGCACTTTTTCTGGGCAATAAATGTTGGTGTGGGTTGATGAAGTTTGGGCTCACTCTTTTTTTTACAATGGTATCAGTTTGCCATTACCAGATATGGAAAACTATGCTTTCAAGGGAGCCAGTGTCCTCTCCCACTTACTAGCCATGCTCCTCGGCATGCCAATATAGTTAGGCTTAAATTAATTCCCACTCAAACAACAGTCTCTTGTCAACTGTTTTGCATCCCATTATTGATGTTTAAAGAAACTGCTTCCAATATCTGAGAGAGGGCCAGTCAAGCCTTCACAGTCCAGAATACGCCTGCCAGCTCACTTCTCATTAGGCTTATGGGTACCGGTTACTCCTCAAAATCGATGAGGAAGAGAGTATGCTCCACTAGTGGGGTTTGACCTATAGCCTTGAAATACTACAGACTGCAGGGGAAAAGACAAATGCAATACTGAAGAATTGGGTGGACTTATTCACCACTACACTTTATTACTGAAATGCAGTGCTTCATCATTATTTTACTGTTATTGATTTCTATCTTCTGCTGGCATAAAAGCAAGAAGGACTTAGAGAGCTTGTATGCTTTGGGAATCCCTGAATATCTCACCTGCTCCTGAATGAATAGAATAGGGATGAAAAAGACGTTATTCCTAGACTTGCAGGGCCAAGTCTTGAAGTAATTCACTGCCTCTTCAAATAAAATGCTCGTTGAAGTTAAAGGGAATTTTGCCCCAGGAAAAGTTTAAATGAACTCAGGCTCAGTAAGGACCACAAAGTTTGGTAAATGGGAATTATGGATGGAAAAGATCGATAGATTGTCATGTCCAGCTCTTTAGCCAAAGGAAAACTGTTGCTTCTAATAATTCTAAAAGGCTTCTTTGCTTGGACTAATTTAAAATGTCGAGTGATGCAATTTACACATTTCCATGTTACTTTAATTTCCACAGTAAACAAACTAAATCAGGTTTGTGCACCAGTAGCTTTCATTTTAAAGCATTTGGCCACTGGTGAAGTATGTTGGTTTTACATATCAGTAATAAATTAAAAATTATTACGAACCCAAGGGCTCAATTAAATACATAGTGCTTTAGGGAAGAAGATAAACTTGTATATGGAGTTAGTAATTTGAAAATGTTTTTAAATATAATATATATTTAATAGTTACAGGCATATTTACAGGAATATACATTGCAGGATCCTATTTGAACTGGATGCACTCTGCAGTTCATTGCTTTTTGTCCATTAGTAATTACATTTATTTTATGAGCAGTAATTTATCTATTTTTACATCACAGTGTTAATTGTTTGGATATCTAGCTGAAATCTCAGTGGCAGCTATACCCAATTAAGTTTCACCGGGTACCAGGAAGTAAATTATTATATTGAGTTCTCTGTACCTATGCGAGATTTTTACATGCATCTAATAATTGAATTTACTTTATAGAGCAGTATGTTAATTGTTTTATGACATAGATTACTGTAAATTTCAGTTCTGTGTTTGCATTCAAATAGATATTGGGAAAGCAGTCTGAAAGATGGTGAGCTCCAAGGTTTGAGGAACAAGAATGTCTTGCTCCATAAACATTGGTTAAAATTTAGCCCTGACTTGTAAAGACAAAAAGTTACCATGTAAGGGTTGTTCAGTGAATTGGTGTGTTTTAAAGTACTGTTAGGACAAGTGTGCATACTGTAATATACCCATTTCTACCAACTGAGAGAAAACTGGTGTTCCACAACACTTAGCAACACCCTGCGACAGGATTACTTACGCTAATCTTGCTACTTGCAATTACAGTGTAAACAGAGAGAACTAAACGTCATCTGGTATGTGGGTGGCAAGTGGCTATGTGTCTAATGAGGTGGTTAGAATTTGTTCCAGAAAGTCTTTTTTTTTTTTTGAGCTGCCAATTCTTTTTCTCAAATTTCTCAAGAAGCTGTTGGACTTTAGAATTGTTTAAAACAGCCATAAACTTGGGGGGGTGGGGAGGAAAATCTCCTCCTTCTTAAATAACTTCTTGGAAAGATGCTCTTCAAATTTCCCACTACTGATTGTTCAAAATGTTTCTACGTAAACTTTTTGGCTGGCTCTGGTGTGGAGTTGTTCCCGAGTTTCACTGACGTGCTTGACAGCTAACCAGTCAGTTCTATTAATGCACAAAACCAGTGAGTTTTCTCACATTTCTATGCAGTCCCTATTAAAATATAAGGAGTAGGCAGTTCTCTTTTGGACTTCACGTATGCATAGAAATTCTTTTACACTAATAAGAAAAGCACCTAGGAACTGCTCAGGTAAAATGATGTAAGAGTAATAGTCCTCTGCAGCTTCAGGGAACTGGGATGTATTCTGAATGGCTTGTGTATGTTTGTGGGATGTAGAAGGTGATGATATTAACCGCAGAAGAGAGATGCTGGGAAGTTAGCAACAGATGAAAATAGTACCAATAATAACATACAGCTAGTGGAATAAAATGAGATTTTAGTGACTGTGAACTCATAAATCTGCTTCCTTCTTCTTTCTCAGTCCCATCTTGATATGCTGGAACAAAATAGGAACCCCAGGAAGGTTTACTGGAGGCAGCAGACGCTCTGCCAGACACTAGGAGGAAATCCATGCCCGTTGCTCACAATCACTGCCATGCCAGACTCTAAAAAAAGAGAAGACTTGGAGCAATTCTGTAAGTAGCCAAATGAAACATTAAAAAAAAAAAAAAATGCTGGTGACTTGCAGTCATGTCAGCAGCAGCAATGACAACCTGTTTTGTGAATATGTTGATTTTCTTGCCTTTCTCGCTTTGGAAAAATAAATCTAAATATGGGGAATAGCTAATTACAATGCTTTTTAAAATTACATATTTACACAGAGGAAGGAGGAGAGCTGACACCATTTTTTACTTCAAATGTTTCTTTAATGATCTGAAACAATTACACAGTTCGATATCAAATATCTCCAACAGCAAGAAACTGTGTTCAAATAACCGGTTTAAAGAGAAATTTGATTTTTTTTTTTGTTGATGTTCCAAATTGAAATGACTTATATATTTTGAGATCTTACACTTGCAAGAAAAAAAAAAGTAC